TGGCTGGGCTGAGATGTGAGGCAGATGTTGTAGGGTGAGGTGTTTCTGTAGCACCCGACTTGTCACCTCCCTAAAAAAGAGGGGTTGGTGGGGTGAGAGGGACTGGTGGGCTCAGGGCTTGAGGGAGCCTGCTGAGTGAGCGGTAGAGGCCTCGGGAAGGTCTCTTGAGAGCCCCCCAGAAGTAGATTTGGGTGCTGGGAGGGAGGATGAAGGAGACCTGCCGGATCTGCGCCCGGGAGCTGTGCGGCAACCAGCGGCGATGGATCTTCCACACGGCAGCCAAGCTGAACCTCCAGGTGCTGCTCTCCCACGTCCTGGGCAGGGAGCTGTGCCGGGATGGCAAATCCGAGTTCGCTTGCAGCAAGTGTGCCTTCATGCTGGACCGCATCTACAGGTTCGACACCGTCATTGCGCGCATCGAAGCCCTCTCCATCGAGCGCCTACAGAAACTGCTACTGGAGAAAGACCGCCTCAAATTCTGCATTGCGAGCATGTACCGCAGGAACAACGAAGACTCCAGCACAGATGACAGAGCTGGGGATGGGACTGTGGACCTTTCTAACCTGCCTGATGCACGGTATGCTGCCCTGCTTCAGGAGGATTTTGCTTATTCTGGGTATGAATATTGGACGGACCAAGAAGAGCACGGCTTGGAGCCCCACAGTTGCCATGCTTCAGAGGGAGCGAGTAACCGCCCGCGGCGCTGCCGTGGCTGTGCCCCCCCGGGTTGGCTGATGCCGACTACGAAGCTATTTGCAAAGTGCCGCGAAAGGTGGCCAGAAGCATCTCCTGCGGATTGTCCAGCCGGTGGTCGGCCAGCATGGGCAACGAGGAGTCATCTGTGTGTGACGCAGCAGAGTCTGCCAGTGCCAGAGGGCCTGTGGATGGGGAAAGCATGGAGGAAGGCACACCTGCCTCCTCTGTTGAGTCCCTGGACACAGCTGTGGAGGCAAGCCCTCTGCAGCAGAAGGATGAAGATGTGGAGAAGGGGGTGAAAGGGAATGGGAAGTGTGATGATTTCTCGGATGACCGCATGACCCCAAGCTCTTCACTGAGCGGGAACAGGCTGGAGCTGGCCCTCAGTTTGATCAAGGCTTTGGACTACAAACCCCTTCAGAGCCCCCGCGGCAGCAGGCTACCTATTCCTGTGAAGTCCAGCTTGCCCCCTCCCAAGCTAAGCCGTGACTTGGCAGATGGCAGCGCTTCTGCTGGCTTAGCGTGTGCTGGTTCTGCCTTCCTGAACGCAGACAGAAAATCTTTTTCCAGAGCTCCTTTGGGTCTTTCCCTGGAGATTTCTGAACTGCAGGAGCTGTGGGATGACCTCTGTGAGGATTATATGCCGCTGCGGGTACAGGTAGAGGTCATTGTGCTGCTGTTCCATTGATCAGCGTCCCTGTGGCTGAGCCTACTAGGGATTCTTCTGTGCTGAGATAATAGATAGCCACGTGTCGCTGAACCCAGGGCTAAGAATAGGCAGCTCCGTCCTTTTTAGGTGTGCTGCCTCTCTCCTCTGTCATTCTCCTGTCGTTTGTTTCCTCCTTGTGTTCTGGGAAATTAACCTCCCTCCCTCATCAGTTCTCCCTGTCGATGCAGCCTGCTAGATGCGTCTAAGCTTTCTGCATGCTTTGTTATTTTTCTGCTGAGAAAACACCAGTTTCACTTCAGCTTTCTCCATAAGAAGTCAGTGTGGCTTTTACCCACAACCAAAGGGAGTGTTTTAAGCTTCTGGGCATGTGTTTTCTTTGTGCCTGGGTAATGGTTCAGGGTCAGGAACGCCTGCCTCCGGAGCCCTGCCTCTGCAGATCAGGCCTCCAACCTGCCAAACATGCAGATCCACGCAGGGATTCTGTGGTGTGTGCCCTGAGGAAAAGGTGTTTTACTTGCAGGTGGATTTGTGCCAGGGGATGACTTTAGGGTTGGTATTCTAGATAATTGGTTTACTTTCTGATCCTTTGGAAAGATTCACTGATTAGTGGCAGGTGTTGCTGAGAGGCGATGAAAGTTCCTGCTTTCATGGGACTTCCGAGTGCTGTTATCTGCCTCCATGGTAGTCCTTGTGTGGTAGTCCTTGTGTAGCTCGGGATTGCCTCTGTTTTGCTGGCTCTAATGAAATTTTCATTAGTATGCAGTCAAAAAGCTGAACTTGTAACTCCTTTACCACTTTCCTTAATGAATAGAAGGCCTCAGTCAGCCTCAATTCAGGAATATCCATGTCAGCCTAATTGCATTGCCATTAGCAGCCTTAGCGCTGTCTAATGCTCTAGGTAGCCTGGGGATTAGAAAAATGCTGGTTTATTGCTATGGCAACTGTGGCTGCGCTGAATTACGCTTCCTTTTCAGCCAGCGCTGCTTGCTGTCCCGTCTGCTCGGGCGTCTCCCAGAGCTGTGTGTATTTCCCGTGAAAGCCTGCTGAAGAAATGATGCTAGGGAGGAATGCAGAAAAACTGATTTTCATCTGGTGCACAAAGGGATTATGCTGGCAGCCAGGAGCTGAAGATGTGGAGCAGGGCGTTGGTGGTGCTCCTGTAGTCTGTTGCTTGCTACTAATTTTCACTGCTAGGGATATATTTACAGCATAAAAATAGGCGCGCTCGTAACAGGATGTGGTGCATCACCGTGGCCTGCTTATGCCTTGGCTTTGTGTCACACATCGCCATCCTCATCTGAGAACTGCTTTTGAGGAGTTTCTGCAGCCTCTGCCTTCTGACCGTCCCTGCCAGGAATTCATCCTGTGGGTTTTTTTACTGCCTGTTTCTTGCCATGGCAGCAGCAGTTGTGGTCTTCAGTGCAGGTTGTGGCAGAAGCGGGAAAGGGCTTAATCCTTAGGATGGCTGTAACAGCAAATTGAGAAGTCAGATGCAGCTGGTAGGCTATTTCTCTCTGTACAAGCAACGCTGTTTCTAAAAGTCCAGTGATTCATATGCATAAACACCTTTCTGGTAATGTGGAAGGAGTATATAGGGTATATAGGACCACAGATTCCTTATTAGTTTTGGGAAACTGCAGTTCTTTAAATTTACAACTGTAAGGTACAGTGACTGAGAGCAGTCAGTGTTGGGGCAGATGATCTCATAGGTACTGTCCTGGGCGTTTTCTGGAACCAGCAGTTGTTCCCCTTCATCACCACAGCCCCAGGAAAATGCCACCAAACCAAGCCTTTGTCAGACGCACGCTCACAGCTGCCTGCGGTGCTGCGCTGGCGGTGAGGGAAGCATTGCCCTACTGACAGCCGATCTTTTACCCACTGTTCTGGGCAGATGCGAGCTTGGCAGGCTTAGTTAATGCTGTGATTATTATAATTATTTTTTCTGAAGAAGTGTTTTGTCTAGGTTAGCGTGTGCTGACATTGCTGGAGCTGTACTGAGGAGGGATTGTCGGTAAAATGCTGATGTAGGAGAAACAGCTGGGGAGCCGTGCTCCTGACATGGCTGCGGTGAAGCACGAGGGAGGCAGCTTGGGCTTGGGGACTTTGGACTCTGGAGCTGACTCTGCCTTTCCCATACCTGCTCTTAGCTCTTCACAGGCTTTCAGCTTACTTTTCTTTGGAATGTGCAAGTTGTGAGGAAAGGTGTGTTTTCCTCCCCCCCCCCCCCCCCCCCTCTTTTTTTCTTTCTTTATTTTTTAACATAGCTGCTGTGTGACAGATTCCAGCAGCTCTCCCTGTTTGATCCAAAGCCTTCTCCTGGGGAAAATTTGAAATTACTTGCTGTGACTGTTTAAGTTGTCACTAGAATCTTAACAAAACATCAGGGTAAAGGGAAGCATTGCTGCTGTGTGGAAGCTTCTGTATGCGAGAGGCAATGTGCAGGCCTGAAGGAGCTCCCCTGCAGTGCCTGTCGATCCCAGAGACAGGGTTTCTGTGGCTGGTGAAGATGAGGATTCAGTCTGACAGGGCTAATCAGAGTTGGCTGTTGTTCTCCCTGCACTGTGTTGCCTGGAGCTGGTGCCCCTGTGTGCACTCTGGAAAGTTCTGCTGTGTTCTCATAGCCTCTGTGCTGCAACCCTGCAATTGCCAGGGCTCCCATGTGAAACAGACACCAGCACAATCGATCTCGTATTGCTGGTAATATTCAGGAATACTTAACGACTCCTGCGAGGGCTGGGGTGGGTGGCTGGTTTGAATGCTGCTCTGAGGAGTTAACAACTCACTGGGTGCACGGTAGTACAAGAGTAAGAAGGGATGACGAGGGATTAGTGTGTGCTCAGCCAGCAGGGTCTGACAGGCCACGTGTCAAAGTAGGCTGTTTCCGTTCTCAATAAATGGGTATGTCATGAAAAAAAATCTCAGCTGTGGCATTGAATTTGCTATGGCTTGTGAGGCTGCAGGGAATCGCACGCGGTGTGGGTACTGGAGCATGGGGAGCTGTGAAGGAGAGACCAGAGAGTCGAAAGAGGGAGGGTGACTGCCAGGTCACTTACCTTCAGGAGGGTAGCTGGTGGGAAGGATAGAAGGCCGTGGACTTGATTAAGGAGGAGAAGCTTGGCAGGACACGGGGAAGGAGTTTGATTTCGTGCTGGCTTTGTTTTGAGGCTGCCAGCAGGGTAGGTATGGAGGAGAGAGGTTTTAGAGACATGGCTTGGGTGTGGGGAGCAGAGCAGCCGTCAGCCTTCAGACAGTGGTTAGAGCCAGACAAGCTGCTGGGCTCACGGTGTGGGAGCGAGGAGAGACAGGGAGCCCAACCAGAGTCTCGGAGCAGCAGGCAACTTCTGGCTGGTCCAGCAGAGAGGTGCCGGTTGCCAGCCTGCCACCCAGGGGGACAAGGGCAGCATGGCATTTTGGAGACAGACAGAAAATCACGTGGGGCTGACCCCATGCTGCTGGGTCTCAGTAGAAGAAACCAGTGCAAGACTGGAGCCGTTTACTCTCAATTCTTTGTTTTCCTCCAGAATTTGCAGGATGAATGTCAGCAGCTGGCTCCAGGTGACCCTGCAGCAGGGGAGCACGTGTCCGATCTGTGTGCTGCAGACCTGCAGGGCAAAATCCAGCAGTTTGAAGCTGCCAACAAGGTATTTCTTCATGAACAGTAAATTCAGTGCCTAGTGAGTCCCCTGTAGTTAGTATTGGAGGGTGCCTCCTAGCCTGCCCAGAGGCAGGCATTTGCACCTCTGTTCCAGCAAGGGTGTGTGCGCTGACACATGATTCTTGGTGTGGTTGTCTGCCAGCTTGAGCTAAAAGCATTTATGTTTTTTGTGCAGCTGTGCTGTGTAAATTTTCCGTATTTATTTTTGCAAACCATTATTTTGGAAGAACTTCCCACTTGCCTGGTGAGCTTTCCAGGAGCTGGTGAAGGAGAGATGCACAGGGCTATTTCCCTGTCTCTTGGATTTGCATGGACTGAGCCTGGTTGAGGAGAGGGGGACACTTGCATTACGAGACAGCTGCCTTCTTTATTGCAAGTAGTAGGGGAGATCAGTGCAAAGGGGGTCTGGTTTTCAGTTTGATTTAAAGGCATTCTTAGGAAAGAAGCATGCAGCTGGGTTGTCTTGAGGCAGATCAAATATAACACATGTTGTGAGGGGTTGATGTTCTGAGTTATGCTCTTGAACTCTAAGGTAAGTTATACCCATTGGGAAAACAGAGGGATTAAATGGGGAAAAAACATTGGGATGGGTTATTTATTTAAATCTGCGGACAGTTGTAAGCTCTTGGAGCTGTGCGGACTGCAAATATTGACAGGGAAGTAAAGAGGCCCAAGGCCCAGTAAATGCAGTGGGAAGTGTTTAAACAGTTTAGGGGGAGTGTCTCTTAGAGAAGAGATAACATGACAGGTGTGTAAACTAATGAGCAACAAGAGGAGATCATGTGGCAGCACCAACTCTGTAAGAAACTGAGGCTCGAGTGATTTCTGAAGAAGATGCATATCATTCAAGATTAGGAACGCCAACAGGCCACATGTTTAGAAGTGCTAATGAACTTTATGGTGAAAGCAGAGAACTGTCTCCTAAAACTGAGATGGTAGGCTCTTACGGGTGAAAATGTCAAAGGCAAAAGTTTTTCAGGTTGTAAACCAACTATGGAGACTAGTGAGATATTCCTCTCTGCTTCGCAGCCGTGCTGTTGGCATGATGGCACTGGCTAGACTCTGTTGTGCTGAGGCCAGTTAAGCCACTGATCTGATCAAACGTAGAATTACCTAGACCAGCAGTTGCTGCAAGAGTGCCTGGGTCGTTGAAGGAGGCAGCAAGAGAAGGAGATGGAGGATTGTAAAGGGGCAGCTGCAGTGCTCTGAAGGTGCTCAGAAGCAAAGGGAATGGTTTTTAGAATGCGTAGCTTCTCCATGAAGCAGCCCTTCGCTCTTAAAGGAACAGAAACAAATGACAGCAGCTGGGAAGGCTGCTGGGCAGTCCGAGCACGACTCTCCTGCAGTATGTGGAGGCACTATGGTGTGTGAAGCCGAGCCTGGAACCTCCACCCTGCACATGGGGGGCTGCACTGGAGGGACCAGAAGCGCTGGAACAGTCCTGTGGAGGGACTGAAGGCTTTGTGTTTATTCACCAGTCTCCACCCAGCTCAAACAGTGTTTACAGACTCAGGCAGCCCTGTTGATCTTGATCTGGTGAACACCTGGGCTAAATTGACTTGAGTAAGGAGTGGAGGGAGTCCTAAGAGTGTTTATGTAGAGCGTTAGGCAGGATTAAAAAAGCAACATGTTTCTGTCTTCAGGTGTTACAGGAAAAGCTGAATGAATTGAATTTTGAATTAAAATCTGTCCGAGAAATGTCGCAACGGCAAGATCGTACAATCCAGAGTCTGAATGAGGCCCTGAAGAGCAAAGAGAGTAAGGTAATAGTTTTGGGTGGACAGGATGGTGCTCACCGAAAGAGGAAAGGTTGCTAGCCCTGTGGGCAGTGGCTGAAAAGGAATGCTCAAGCCATTGCTAGGCATCCTGGATCTCATTAAATTATTTCTTGCGCAGGTCTTTCATGTTGTGCTGTCATGTGTCATAATCCACGCTGGAGGCTTGGGACGGGAGGGTTTGTGCTTGGTTTGCCAATGACTGGGCTTTCTGTCCTTTGACTCGTAGACAGAAGAGCTATACCATGTCATTGAAGGGCAGAACGAGACAATGGCCAAGCTGCAGGACATGTTACACAGAAGCCATATGGGACAGTTGCAGGTACATCCCTGGAAAGCTTCAAGTACATCAGGTTTCGTTCTATAGGGATCGTGGTTTTTAAATTCCTCTCGTGAAGTGAATCTATGAGGTTCTCTGCTTCCCACTCTTGTATAGATGTCGGAGAGCCCACTCTCGTCGCAGGAGCAGCAAATGTCCCTGCTAGATCTTCAGAACACGCTTTTCTGCACCAAGCTGGAGGTGCAGAAACTGAAAAGAGCTCAGCGCCAGAAAGAGCATCAACTAGCTGAAGCCAGGAGAGCAACGCAGCTCCTAGAGACCATAGTGCATGAGGAAGAGCAGCAGAAAGAGGCAACCTGGAAACACAACCAGGTATGACAAGCACAGCCTGCAAGTCCCTGGGTTTGCACAACGTAAGCAGCACTGATGTAGTCAGTACTACTCTCATCCATCCCTTCTGCCTACACCAGTCTGGGCACACTTGGCTAACCCCTTGTCACGTGTGGCAGGGAGAATTCTCCAGCCTCCATAGGTTCATATCTGAGGATTTAGAATCAAGAAAGACACTTAGTAGTGTGTATGTTGTCACTTGTATGTCTTTGGCTCTTGCAAAGGTCCGATCTGGTGGGTTTTTTTTGGGTGTTACAAAGTTAATGTCCCCTGCTGCACAGGTTAGCTGTGACTGGCTGCAGAGCTCTGCCTGTGGCCAGAGCAAGCGATGTAGATGGATGGAAACCCTGGGAAATGAAATAAATTTGGACCATCAGCATGGAAGTGTGATTTGAGATGTGAAAGCTGTAGTATTGCAGAGCATTTTTGGCTGTTCCCACAGCCCTTGTTGCTCTTAGCTTCTTCATATTGGCCAGCTGTGTACAGGTCTGTTGAGGACTGGCTGCCAAGGTATGTGCTTTTCCCTCACAGGAGCTGCGGGCTGTGGTACAGCAGCTGCAGGCAGAGCTGCAGGACAAGGCTCAGCATCTGCAGACTGTGGAGTGGGAGAAGTGCCGTGAGCTGCAGGCCCAGGGGCAGAGAGTTCAGCGTTTGAGTCAGCATCTGGCTCGCAAGGAACAGCTTCTGCAGGTGAGATGCAGAAAGATTCAATTTGAGCACAACAAGCCAGGGCCCCTGCTCCTCCTTTGGTATCCGGTGATGCAAAAGTCAGCCTGTAGCTTTCACGCACGCCCTTCGAAGAAGGGAAGGAAAGCGATGCTTCTGGGCTCCCAAGATGAGGAAGAAGGCACAGGTATCCGAGTACCTCAGCCCACAGCAATGCCTGGTGAGCCCTGGCAGGTCTAGTCAACCGGCCCCAGCTGCTGGGACTCTACCACCCTTTAATGTGGGGGTAGAGCAAGGGTAGGGTGGAGGTAGTTAGCCCTGATTCTCCAGTGCTGCTCCTAGGGGGAGTTTCTGGACAGACAGTTGTACTAGGAGGGGTTGTGTGTGACCTCTAGGAATCGAGGGAGCTTCTGCAATGCCAGCAAAGCTTGGACAAGAGCCCTGCAGCTGTGAATGCCATGCTGGAGAAACTGCAGCAGCGAGTCAGCGACAGGGATGCTGCTCTGGAGGTGAGCACAGTCTGTCGGTGGTGTCTCGATTTTCCCTGAGGCTCAGCCTTTGGGCTACCATCAGCGGTGCAGCCCCAGGCTGACCCCAGGGGTAACCATGTCTTCTACATGCTCTTCATGGCTCAGCCTTCCAGAGGAGCTCCCTGAAAGGGAGAGATGATGTGCCCCACACAGTCAGTGGTGGGCTACAGAGCCTGACTACCCTATTCTAAGCCATCACCCCCTCTCACCGTAGCGAGCAGTAGATGAGAAGTTCTGTGCCCTGGAGAAGAAGGAGCAAGAACTGCAACAGCTCCGTCTCTCAGTGAGGGAGCGTGGAAGTGACCTGGAGAGACTGCACAATGTCCTGTCCAGCAACGAGGCCACCATTCACGTGAGTGCTTGTACCTGGGCATGCAGAGTCCAGCCTGGCTGTGGCGTGGTGCTGGACCAACCTTCCTGTGAGTGCTCTGGTTGTTGCTGGGGACAGTGGCTGCAGGGTGTTGGCCTTCCTGTGGCCCTGTGTGCGGGGCAAGTTCTGGGTCACTCTTGTTTCTGAGCTGGACGCAGAGGTGAATGTGGTGTCTGGAGAGGACAGGGGTGAATCTATGTGACTCCACTAGCAGGAGAGGCTGGTATTTCCAGTTCTGTTTAATTCAGGATTAAGTCTCTGTCCCTGGTTGAGCTGCTTCTCTTGTGGTCCCCAGAGCCTGGAGAGCCTCCTGAAAGCCAAAACCCTGGAACTAGAGCAGGTCTCAACAACCTGCCAAAACCTCCGCTGGCTCAAGGAAGAGATCGAGGCCAAATCCTGCAGCAGGCAGAAGGAGCAGGAGGGGATCATCCAGCAGCTGCAGACCTGCCTGCATGACAGGAACAAGGAAGTGGAGGTAAGGCCTTAGCTTGGCGTCCTGAGCCTTCAACCAGTTTGTCTGCAGAGTGTGTGGTCCCAGACCAGAGCCTCCTGGCTGCCTGCCTCTCAGGAGGACACTTGAACCTGTGCCCAGTGCTTTGGAAGTTGGCTGCTTTTGGGACCTGGAAATATTTGTGCGTGCCAAGATGTTACTCTCTCAGCTGCACCCAGGCTGAAGAGCTGTTTGTCCTTGAACAGCTTGCAGTTTGATGGTAGCAATGTCTCTCCATCTCTCCCTGTCCACCTTGTTCAGGAGCTTACAGCAACTCTGCTGTGCAAGCTGGGCCCAGGACAGAGTGAAGTAGCAGAGGAGCTGTGCTTGCGTCTCCAGCACAAGGAGAAAATGCTGCAGGATCTCCTCAGTGACAGGAACCGTCAGACCATGGAGCATGATGCTGAAATCCGAGAGCTGCTGCAGGCCGTGAGCACCAAGGAGCAGCAGAGCAGAGTGAGTTGTGGGGAGGCTGGGGTGGATGGCTCTGCCTTGCATTAAGCAAATGTGAACTGCTCTCCAGCTGCTGTTGGTGCAGCCTGGTGGAGGTGCTGAATGTTGAAGGACCACAGGAGTCTCGACCCATCAGATGGGAGCAGTTATGAAGCAGCAGCTCTTGTAGCAGTGTTCGGATGTCAGGTCCCTGTCCTTAAGTGGACTGGGCAGAGTTTGTGTGTGGTGCAAATCCTCTTAGATATCTGTGCTCCTGGGCTTGGAGCAGCAGAGGGACCGTAGGAGGGTCGCTGCTTCATGTGGATGTTGGTGTTACCAGACCAGAAAGAGAGACTCTGAGCTGTTTCGTGTGTAACATGGATATCTGAGTAAGCTCTGCTCATTGCCTCTTAACTTACATGTTAGTCAAACTCTAGCGCATGATCTTGGGCATGTAAAAGCCACTTAAAGAGCACAGCTTCTGCTGTGCCTCCTCTTGCACACTAGATGCGGTTCAGTGTCACCCAAGATAATTTGCGTGGCGTTCCCTTTAGTAAAAAGGGGGCTTAAAGGCCAAGCACTGTCTCCTCCTCTCTGCCTATCCTCTGTCTTTCTCCACGCCTGAATGGGTGAGAGAGGCTGAGGAGCTTGTTCCTCTGTGGGCCAAGAGGCTGAGCCTTGCTGCAGCTGTCTGGCAAGTAGAGAGGGAAGGGCTGCAGTGGAATCACTCTGAGTGGCCAGCAGCAGTAGCCCCCAGGCTGGTTTGCAGAGCACTTCTAGTCTCAAGTGATTGAGATGGTTTCCCTTAGTCCCTAAGGAATGTGAGGAACAGGGGTTCCACTCCTGATCACAGCCATGTCTTCCCCTATTTTTCCTGCTCAATCAGACGGCTGCTGAGAAGATGGCGAACGCTTTGGCTGAAAGAAGCTGCGAGTTACAACTCCTGCGGCAGCATGTGCTGGGGAAGGAGACTGTCGGGACCCAGTTGGCTGGTGCCAGGCTGTTGAAGCAGGACAAACAGCCCATACAAGTAAGAATTGTGCACTGTTTCTCTGCCCTTGGCCTTGGGGCTCCACAGACAACTGATTGCCACAGGAAGAAATGGGAGAGAGGGGAGCACCACAGAGAATGATAGAAATGAAAATGGGATTAGGGGAGAGGCTTCCCATAGGAGGACGAGAAGAAACTGAGAGGCAGAAATGCTGCCTGGATGTTCCGATCTTGATTTCCACGAGCCTTTGTCACTCAGTGTCTCCTTTGGTTTTGATCAGGCAGTATTTAAGTCCTGAGGGCACGTGAGAGTATGAAAGAAATCCACCCTCTAACCTTCAGCATTGACCCAGTCCTTCCTTGGGCTGGGCTGCCTCACTGTATTGTAATCCCCTCCCTGACATTGTCACATTCTGGAGGGGACAAGAGAGCTAATTTTAGGTCCCACTAATTCTTGGCAGAGCCTGCTGGCTGTTTGCTGTCTCTTCCACAATTGGAGTTGGTATTTTTAAAGCAGCTTTGCTAAAAACCCCTTTGAGGTTGAACACAACTCCAAGGCCACATATGTTGTGCTCCTACGTGAGCAGCTGTTAATGGTGAGCTGACAGGTTAGACATTTTTAAGCAGCTGTAAACAGGTTGCTGGTTTCTATTCCCAGGATCAAAGTGAGGTCTAGAGACTTCCAGGGACATGTATATGGGCCAAGCTCTGTTTTGCTTCCTGCATGATCCCTCTGGGCCACATCTTTGGATGGAGATGTAGGTCTCTGTAGAGTCTCAGTTGAAAGATGTTTTTTTTCTGCAGTTGGGTGAAACCTGTTTAGTCCCTACTATGAAGATACTCACTGCCAGCAACCTCCTAGTGCAAAATAAAACAAGGCCATAGCCCTGTTGCCCACACATACAGCTTCTAGGTTGGGTGCAGTTCACTTGTTCCCACTGCCTGACTAGATCCCCTTCGTTGGTTTCTCACGTTTCGGAGCATCAACAAAGCAGCTGGCCGTTTTGCTGCACTCCTGGAGTTCTGGGGAAGCTGTGAGTGCTAGATTCCCCATAAAGGTGCAAACCCAGAGGCTTTTGTGTTTTCAGGAAGTACTGCAAAGAGCTTGTGGAGCTACAGCCATTGCCGGACCCCTGCAGGGGGACAGCAGCTGCATGACAGAGGGAGGTGAGTGTGGTGACAGCTTCTTTTGCGGTCCCCAAACAGGGCTTTTTGCTGTGGGGGAAGCATGGTTACGTGAAACTGTGAGAGAGTAAAGAGCTTTGAGCAAGAGTGAATCTTTTGAAATACAGCTGTGCCTCCGCTTTGGGTGATGGTTCAGGGACGTCTGGGGATGGGGTTGTGGGAAGAAGAAAGGCTGGTGTCAGGTTTGAGGTGGGGTGCTTCTGCTCAAGAGCTGATGCTCCCCAGTGGGGGGTTTTGACTTTATGCTTCACGCTGGGCTGAGATAAGTGCAGTTGGTTTGGGTTTTGCCTTGGGGCCAGGATGTGTGAACTTTGCCAGGGGTGGGACAGCAGGCCTGGGACCTTGGGCTGCTGGTTAGGGATCAAGCAGGGAAGAAGAGTGTTTACTAAGAGGCAGTGTGATGAGTAGTGCAAGCATTGTAGACCTGTCTTGCCAGAGAGGGATTCTGTCTGATCCTGGGGTCAGAGCTGACACACGGTAACCCTGCAGTAACCAAGCTGTCTTTGCAGGTACGACGTCGGCAGCAGAGCTGGAGAAGGATCTTGTTAATGCCAAAGAGGAGCTGGAGCTAATGGCAAAGAAGGAAAGGGAAAGCAGGGTGAGCTTGTGATGGAGCCTGTGCTGATCTCCCTTGCTTACAGGAGACCATTGGCCTGCCCCTCACGGGAGGTTTTGGCCTCCCCTGTTACGAGGGTACCCCCAGTGAGAGAAATGGGGCAGCATCTTGCAGCGGGGTTTTGGCTTTCTGAAGTTTTTCATGGACTTCTCTTCTCTCTGTAGCGGGAGCTCGCTGCTCTCCAATCTGTTGTGGCCACGCAGGAGGAAGAGCTACAGGTGCAGGCCTCAGATATAGAGTCCTTGACCAGGACCATCCAGATCAAAGAGGACCTCATCAAGGTGAGATAGCACGCTGTGCTGGGTCAGTTCTGGCTGGGAAGACTGCAGAGGAGTTTCTTCTTCCCCCAGATCCTCAGAGTATTGTGGCTGGCTGTCCGTGGATAGTATCGCTGCTGGTTTGCCAGCACTCCTCTGTGTTACTTTGTCCAGAAAGCAAAGGCCAAACCCCCCCCAGTGTTGTTATTTGGCTTTTTGCTCCTTGTGTACTGAACACCCTTGTTCGAGTCCTTTAAACAGAGCGCACTGTGTCTCTTCTCAGTTTTTGCTCCAGGCTGTTGTCTGTGCCTGCTCCGGGTGCTCTGACATTTCTTTCTTTGGAGACCTGGGTCTTCCCAAACTCTGGAAACTTTTGGCAGTTGCGTTCCAGGGAGGGTTACGAAGGTCCAGCTGTCCTTGTTACTGATCCCTTCTTCACTGAGCCCTCCTGCTGTTGGGTTTCAGGATCTGCAGATGCAGCTGGTGGATCCCGAAGAAATTCCAGCCGTGGAAAGGCTGACACAAGAAGTGCTGGTGCTTCGGGAGAAAGTGGCCATAGCAGAGTCACAAGGACAAGAGGCTACTGGAAACAGAAAGCAGCAGGTAGCGTGCTGTGTGGGACAAGCTTGGATGTGTTGATATTTCTGCTGGGGCTCAGTTACGAGGCTTTTTTTTCAGCCTATGGATATGCTGAGATGTGGTTGTTCTGGGAAGCTGGCTGTGTAGAATATGGGGATACAAAGTTCCCATTAGCACTTGTCTCAAGAGCAGAATCTTTGGGGATTCCAGGGGTGACACAGATCATCTTGATCACTTGGGCACAAGCAAGAGAGGAAGGGGAAGGCCCTGTTTCTCTGGGGCAGCCAGATGCCTCCATTTATTTCTGCCTCTCACTGTTGCATTTTGTCTGTTCTCTCCACCCAGTTGTTACTGATGCTGGAAGGGCTGGTGGCTGAAAGGAACCGGTTAAATGAGGCTCTCCAGGCAGAGAGGCAGCTCTATGGCAGCCTGGTAAAGTTTCACACACACCCAGACAGGTAAGCAAGGCTGCTCTGATCCGCTGCTGGGCAAGCGTGGGTGGTCCAGTGGGACAGTCGCTGAAGCAGTGATCATTCTGCAAGTCTGTGAGCCCGCAGTGGGGAGGAGGGACAAATGCAGCTCTGGGAGTCCAAGTTTTAGGCTGCCTTCTTCCCTTGAAGAGGCTGCAGTGGCCAGCTTGAAGTGCTATGCAGACTTCCCCCATTGCCACCTCTTGTTCAGGCCCTGAGATTTCCATCTCTGCTCCGTGGCTTATCTCTTCCCGGCTCAGCTTCCCACCCACACTTGGCCGCCTTTCAGAGGCTGCTGTCAAATCCCCAGCCAACTGTTGGGCCAATAAGGATCTATCTAGGTGCTTATCCCGGCGGTTGTCCCGCGGTGCAGTGCAGCCTGCATTCTCTGTCCTCCGCACTAATCTCCTGCCCTTCGCGGGGCTGCAGGCTCTGGGATATTTGAGCTACCTGATAGCAAGAGAGCACATAAGTGGAGTGCTTGGGTAAGCACTGAGGAACAGCTGTGCCTAGGAGTCCCCTACCAGGGTCTGGAGCCTTTTTTGGGGATGGCCGTTCTCCGGGGAGGCTTAGAGGTGAGACAGGAGGTGGCCGAGCTGCCTGGGGAGTGTGCAGGGCCTGTGCCTGGAGTAAGCGGCAGTCCTGGATGGAGGAGCCAATTTGGTGTGCGCTTGCTGCAGCCTGTCTAACCCTCTTCCCTCTTGTGCGGCATGTCTGCTTAGCGCTGCGAGAGACCACACTCTGCAGGTGGAGCTGGAGGGGGTCCAGGAGCTCCGGGGACAGCTGGAAGAAGCTCTTGGAAGAAGCCTGGAGCGTTTGAGCAGGCTGGAGACGCAGGGCACCAGAGGAGGTGGGGAACAGGAGCGTGTGAGAGTCCTACCCCAGCATGCCTTCTGAGCACTGACGCTCGCCCGCCTGCCACGGAAACAGTTCACTAACCGAGGGAGCCTGTCTCACTGACTCTGGGAGGGTTGCTTTGGTGCTTAGTAATGGTACGATAGAACTGGTGCAGGGCTTTTTTTGTTGTTTCATTTTTGAGCTGCTTTCGGAACGGCGATCAGTGCAATCCACCTGTGTCCCGTGTGTGTTCCAGTCTGACCCAGCCTGGTGGCCACTGATGCATTTGCACATTCAAATCATTCCATTTTAGTTGATTTCCCTCATCTCCCTTCTCCTCCCACCCCCATGGGCCAAATAAAGATTCCCTTTCTCTGAAGGAAACACCAGACGTTCTCTGTCATCTCCCAAGTGCATGAGTGTGAGTTTTTGTATTCCCTCACCGTTTTTCTTACCCAGGGACATCCCCCTCTTGGGTTGATGGCAGCTGCCCCAAAAGGAGAAGGGGTATGTGCAAAAGTGGGTTCCAGAGAATCTGAGAAGGGCCATGAGACCTGGTGGCACTTCCTGGGGCACTTGCGCAAGTCTGGAGTGTAGAACCAAGCATTCATTTTATGCTTAAACCAAATCCTACTCCAGTAGTGATGATTTTACTGACTTTTTACTTCTTTCTTCCCCTCCCCCATTGTAAGTTGTCTCAGCCTGGCTTCTGAGTGCCTTCAAGGGAGCACGTCCTCCTCTTTTTGGCAGCAGATTTGGGGTGACCGAGACCTGTCCCTGCTCCCAGGGTCTGGGCTGGGTCTGCTCCCTCGCTTGTATGCGCACATCTCGCAGGCTCCACATGCCCCTTGGGCAATGGGCAGGGCCCTGTTTCTACTTTGCTGGGGACAGTCCCACTTGTCACCACTGCATACCCTTTCTAGGGCATCTTTCACCTCCCCTGTGAGTGTTGGGGCTGGTGTGAGAGCTGAAAAACAATAGCAACAGCTTTCCGATGACCGGCGCTTCCCCTGTGCTGCGGGCTGTGGATCAGCTGCCTCATACTTGAGACATGCTCACCCTCATACTCACTTCCCAAGGTGTCAGGAGTGAATTTTCTACCTCTGAGCACTTGCTTCTGCTTGCTGGGGGAGCTGAACTAGGAGTGGGTGGAGCAGAAGAGCTCCGTCTCGCTGGGCTGCACCACCTGGACCTGTGCCTGCTCTGCTGCACATCTCCCTGTGACCGTTGTGTATGGCACTGCCTGTCCCGTGCCTTGCACCCATGCACAGGTCCTCTTTTCCCTAGCCCAGACAGGGCTAGGAGGCAGCACAGCTCTCCTGTCATGTGCAGCAGGTCGGCACTGCTCCCCTGCATCGGCACGTAGCTGTGTGGTGAGTTCAGCAGTTCTCCTATGGCCTGAAGGGACACAGCTGGTGGCTGCCGGGCAGCCCTGGTACTTGGTTTGCTTCTCCTTTCTTGTGTTTCATCTCATTCCCTTCTTCTCACTTCTCTGTGTAGCACCATCTCCTCTTTCTCCTTCTGCCTCCCACTGTGTAGGAGCCATTGTGTCCCTGTCCTTACCTTTCCACCTTCCCTCCTCCATCCTGGCTCTGACGCCTGGCTGGCTCCCTGTCCCTTGGCTACCGTGGAGCCCAGCACAGGCTCCTTGGCATGAGGGAAGTCTTGGCTGGTGCTCCAGCAGCTGCTGTCTCTTCTGTGCTTTGCTGCAGATCTGTCCCTGGCCTCTGGTACCATCTCTGCTGTACAGTGCCCCAGGGGGAGCGTTGGCCCAGGCTGAGGTGTCCTAACTTTTCCACTCTGTTCTTTGGGGCCTCCTCTCATCCCTGATTTCCCTGACTGCACGCTCCTCTGCCCCGCAGGAGGACCAGCCTGAGCATCCTATGCCTGAGAGCAGCCTCTGTCAAACTGTCCGGTGCTTTGTGCTGTCTCATAGCTCTTTGTGGAGGTCTCTCCTTCCTCCCCCCCTTTCCCTTGCTGCCCTTCCCTTCTTCCCAGCAGTGCGAAGACTTCCAGTGCAGCCAGTGCTCTCGGCTGTCCTGTGCCTGCAGGCCACGTGCCATTTTCAAGCCGTTCGACTGCTTCTCTTTGCCTTCAGGCTAGGTGTGAAGGACTGGAGCCTGTGGAAAATAGTGCTGGGGCTGCATCGCCAGTCTCCTTCGCTGGTAACACAGAGCGAGCTGAGCAGCCCCTGTTCCTTTGCCTTGGCACCCTGGTGTCCTGCTGCCATGGAGGGTTCAAGCACTGGGTGAACAGCAGCCTGGGCACACTCTGCCCTGCGTGCACGCTTCTCTGCTCCCACCGCACCACTTTCCTCTTCTTCCCCTGTTTTCTTTTGGTTTTTTTCCCCTTGAGGTTTGTGCTCCTTTTTTCTGCCCCAGTCCTGGAGCGCTGGGAGCTGTGCGGAGCTGTGGGCTGTGGTGACAATCAGGGTGCTCTGCCACAAGAGGTGGTTCCCCCATGTCCCCGGGGCAGCTGTGCTGGCTGTGACCCACCCTGCCCACCCACCTTGAGACCCCTGTGCACAGGGCCCTCAGCCCCACAGCAGAGCCCGCAGCTGGGGGTCTACATCCCCTCGCACTTCGGGGCTTTGCAGCCATCGAGATGCAGCCCTAGATGGTTTGACACCTGGCAGGCTGTGTCCCTGGGGGCTCACGGGGCTGTGCTTTGGCCGTGCTGAATGCCACCCGTCTCCTTTGGGGTGCTCCTGCCGCTCCCAGCCGCCTCTAAGCGTTTTGCTCCCGGGACGGTGCTTCTCCGTGATGGCTGCCCTTGCTCCCTGGGCACGGCTGCTTGGGTGAACAGGCTCCACTGCGCAGGGTGATGTCTGCCCAGGCTGGGCAGTGAGGTGTCCCTGCTTGCTTCTCCTTCCCCAGCAATGTTTGGTCTCTCTGCTCCTGCCAGGATCTCTCCTCATTCCCCTGCTCTGTGTTCAGCCTTGCCTGGGAGTTCCAGACCTGATGGTGCTGGTTTTGGCCATGGGCAAAGCGGCTCCATCTCCTCGGGGGCACAGGCAGCTGCGAAACCTGGCCCTGCACAGTCCCGGGGGCTGGTGTGGGGCCCTGCACAAGCTCCTCTCTGCCAGGGAGAAGAGGGGTTGGGGGTACACCCATGGCCCAGCCCAGGCAGCCTGAGCCGAAGCCCTTGCCCCAGGCTGTGCACCAAGGGGCCAGGAGCAGAGCTCTGTGCAGACGGAAAAGCACAGCCCTAGCTCGGCTCTGTGGGGCAGAGAGGGGTTGGCAGGGCACAGGAACAGTGGGGAGCCCTCTGCTCCACTGGGAATGCCCTGGCATCAGGCACCTTCCCCGAGGCTGCCCGGTCGGTCACCAAGGCAGAGGGGACAGAGGCAGTTCTGCCATTGCCACGGTGTAAAACCCCCTGTTGTGCTGTGCTGTCTCCTAGGACAGGCCACTGGCACAGATTGTGATGGTTCCAGCACCACCTTCACTGACGGCACCAAGGAGGAGGCAGCCCACTGTGGGGCAACCCAGCACGTGAGCAAGGTCAGCGTGGCACTGGGAACAGGGATGGCAGAGCTGGGCACTGCGCCGCTGCTGCACCACGTCCTTTGGCAATGTCCCTGTCACCCTCTGTCTTTGTCCCTCTAGAGCAGCCCCCGGGCCCCTAAGGAAAGCGGGGGCATTGGGAGGGCCCTGACAGGGAGCACGGCACTGACCACGCTGGAGCGGGAGCTGCGGGCGGAAGAGGAGCTGCGGGAGCTGAAGGCGCAGCTGGGGGAAGCTGGCTTCTTCCCCG